ACAACCTTTGCTCACACCTTACCAACGTGGCGTTGCAAAAGGGCGAGGAGACGTACAACGAGATGCATGGCGGGAAGTGGTCGTTGGCGAACTTGTGCCTTTTTGTGCAGGGGCGTTACGGGGCGGTGTGCGCGGATGGGTTGATGCGGAGCATTGAGTTTACCATCTACCACAGCCTCAAGGCGATGGAGAACGTGATGTTTAACGACCGGCACTGCTTTGAGCTCTACGGCTACGACATCCTCATCGACGACTGCCTGCGACCCCACCTGATCGAGGTGAACTCGTCCCCGTCGCTCTCAACCACGACGCTGTCGGACCGGCTGCTGAAGGAGGAGGTGCTGGCGGATGTGTTGAGCATCATCTTCCCGCCGTTCTTCCCAAGCTCGCGGGCGATGCCGTACTGGGAGTACCGTTTGCGGACAGATTTGACGACGGCGGTACCGACGGGATTTCGACTGTTGCATGTAGGGGCGTAAGCCCTCGGCGAGGAGAAGTTTTCTGCGGCGGAGGGGTGGGGGTGGCTGCGTGTGCCACACGCATGCTGGCGGGGAGGGATAGGAAGAGAAGCAAGGTAGAGAAAAGAAAGAAACAATCAATAATAATAATAATGAGAAAGAGTGAGAAAAACAAGGAGGGAAAATGGATGTGGGGTAGGTGGGTGAGTGCATGCGGAAATGTGGAAAGACAAAAAGGACGAAGTAAATGAGCGATCAAAAGAGGGGTCGGCCACGCATCTCTTAACTTTGATGGGGGGCGCTTCTGCAGGGCGCCTACAACTGTTTTTTTTTTGTTTTGTGTCTGCAGCATTTCCCTTGCAGTGTCTTCTGTCCTAAGTGAGCAAAAACGAAACATGCAGACATATATGTGTAGATTGTTTGTTTGCCGTGTAGGCGTGGGCGCTATCTTATTTGTATCGACTGTTTTTATCTGTGCATTTGTGCAGGCGCCACTTAAATGTTTTTTTTTTCTGTTTTTGTTGGTCCTGTTCGCACGTCTCCACCGCTTACTTACACCATAGAGAGAGTGTGTGTACGCGTGTGTGTGCGGAGATCTATTTTCTTTTGTGCCTGTGTTGGCCCTTCTCTGTATTCTTTTTTTTTTATTGAGACTCCATTGCGTTGCACTTTTGTCTGTGTGTGTTTTGTGTGTTCAACGGCGCATGGCGTCTCTCCCGCGATGTATCCACAAGTGCACCTCCCCCCTGCACAACCTCCGCAGCAACTATACAACGACTGAGAGAGATGCACACAAACGCTTATGTACTTACGCACTTTTTTGCTTCGCAGTGCCTTCCTCGTCGGCACTGCGAGGAAAACGATGGGACGGCCAGGCTTACATGCAGGCAGACAGGGCATACATATATACATGAGTCTACACATATTTATGTAAGTGTATATGCATGAATCAACACACATGTCTTTTGTTTTATTTTTGTGTTTCTTTTTTTGTTTTTCTATCGCTTCTCTCACATGTACTTGCGCATGTATGTATGTGTGTGTGTATGTTTACCAGCGACCGAGTTGGGAGGCGTGACGGAGGGGGACATACGTGCATGTATAATATGTGTGTGTGTGTGTGTGTGCTCAAGAGGGAACGGCAAAAGTTCCTCTTATGTGTCTTAGAAGTGTATTATGGCACTTCTTCCTCCTGCCTGGATGAAAATAATGTTGGAGGAAACTGCCCCGGGCGTCTCCTTTGGAATTTTTTTTGTTCTTTTTGTTTGTGTGCTACGCGCACGCACATTCTCTCCGTCTCACTTTTTCTCTCGCTTTTGTTTGTGTACGTGGGGGGGGGGGGCATTTGGTTTGTGGCGTAGAGGAGGCGTAGTCCGATTTTATTTTATTTTTTCCAGTGCGATGTTTTTGGAAATTTTTGTGGACCCGTTTGTCTGCTTCTGTGTTGCATGCGTCGCCGCGCCGCTTATTGTGGCGCGTGAACGTCTCACGTACGCGTATGTCGTTGGGTATTTGACGGAGCCGGCGATGTTGTTTGCCGCGGCGCTGCTTGTCCTCGTCGTCGCCGAGACGCACGTTGTGCGCTGGAGGCGGAATACCCCGCCGTTGCGTACTTTCCATGAGCGGATGCGGGCCCGGTGGTACCTTCTCAACGGTGTGGTGATTCACATCCTCATGGACGGCCTCGTTGGGGTCTTTAAGGCGAGCACGCTACTTAGCAGAAACTACGCGAAAATTGACAAGCGGTACGGCGCAAGGCTGGGCAGCTTTGAGGGGTCTGCGGTGCATGTCATTTCCCTCATGGAGCTGTGCGTGAAGGGGCCGCTATGCATCCTGCTGTACAGGGCCTACCAAACCCGTAGTCCCCACCGTGACGCACTGGAGTTCCTCTCCTGTGTGACGCAGGCGTACGGCACAGTGGTGTACCTCGGGCAGGAAGTGATCAGCGGCATGCCGCACCTTGACGTTGACCACAACTTGGAGTTCACGCCGCACTACCTCTTGTACTTTTGGTTTGCCATCGTCTTTGGATGTGTTTTATATCTTGTCATCCCCTGCTTGTGGGGGTGGGAGGCTTACATGCGCCTCGTGGCGGCATCCGCGCGCACCGCGCTAAAGATACGGCCCGCGCAGTCCGCCCATTCTTCTTCCCCAGCGGCGAAGCTGAAGGTGACAAAGTGGTAGACGTGGTGGTGGTAGTGGGAGTAGTGAAATGTAAGGGGCTCTTGCAGCGAAGCCAACCGGCAGTATATATATATATCGACACGCACAAAAACTGTTGAGGCGACCCACACCAGGGAGGCCCGAGTCCCCATGCATACGCACGCGTATGTAATATTTTTCCGGCGCTGCCGCCATCCTCACACGAATTCCAGCGGACAGCTACACTCTTTTCTCTTTCACATTTTTTTTTATTATTATTTCTTCCTTTGCCTCTGCCCTGGGCTACTGCCAATGATGGGGTGCTCTTCGGACAGGTCCGGGATTGGGTCCGCGCCCTCACGCCATGCGCTGCGGGCGATTGGCTCTCCTGCTGGCCCCAAAGCAGGCGCTTGTCAGCACAGGAGGCAAGGCGGCATCCTCCACCTCCCACGCCTTGCCGCTGCGGCGGCTGGTGGGAGCTGCAACTCTCAGCACAGCCCCGGCGGCGGGGCGGCGTGTGGGCGCGTTGGACGCACACTGCCGCCTTCGCACGCGAGGCACGTCGTCGGAGTCGTCAACGCCTATGACCGAGCGGGCATTCGACATTTTTGAGGGCAACAACAAACAGGCCTGGCTGGACCTCAAAACTGGATGGTGCCACCTGTGCCAGGAACCACTGGGTGCGACGATGGGCGTGCACATTGGCGATCGCGACCACACCAACTTGCAATACTTTCTTTTCCTCTACGCCGCCCACGCACGGAGATGGTCAGGAGAAGAAATCCTGCGGTCTTGTATGCTGACGGTGCCCAGCGTCCACCGCTACGCCACCCGGCACACAACGTGGGATCATCTGCACGTCATGGATGATGCGATGCGGCGCGCGGAACTGGAGGCGCTTTTGTTTTTTTTAACGCAACCCCCCCATCAAGCCTTATCACATGTCCTACAAGGACGTAGCCCGTTTGGTTTTTGGTATAGCGGTGAACGGATGTGGAAGCTGCGCATTTCACGCCTTGTCACGCAGCTGTTTCCTCCGATATCTGCGGGAATGATGACAAACTTCACGCAGAAGTGCTGGGGCAGAAGTAACGGGGAACGCATGTACGATGCCCTCCGTCTGCAGCGCATCAAGGCCTACTTTGGTTGGCAGCCGTATGAGAGCAAAGAGAAGAAGGCCTTTTTTGTTCGTCAACTGCTGTGGGAGCTGCTCTCGGTTGAGACGCGTGATGAGGTGGACGAGTTTACAAAGCATATGGCAGACTTGGCACTGCAGCGCATGGCATTTGAGATGGTATTCCTGCAGTCCATGGAGTACATGCACAAAGTACAGTACGTGTATGAGCTCATGGGCAGGCCCACGATGGAGGAGCTTGCGGCAATGAATTTACTGTAGCCGATAGGGCATCTTACTCGCTTCGTGTGCCCATATATATTTATCTCTCTCTCTGTATGTGTCTGTGTGTGTGCCAGCGACGGCGCCGCTGGTGCCCCGCATACCATTTCCCGTTAAACTCCCCACCCCACCCCTCACCACCACCAAAAAAAAAAGGATACTTGGAGAGCATCGCTTTGTTTTTTCTATTATGGCTGCCGTGTGCCCCCTTCCTCTCGTGGCTGTCTTGCAGCCTACGAAAACTGTGGCATCTACCGTTTCTGCCTGCATGCGACTATTTCGCCTTGCATCTCTGCTGCTGCGTCTTCTCTCTCTCTCTCTCTGTGCGCTGGCGAGGACACACGTTGGGCGCACGTACATAAGAAGCAAAAAGGAAGAAAAAGGACGGTAAAACCCAAACAAGCATTTGTGGGAGGGGGAAGATAGCGGGGTGGTGTTCCCCTTTATTTTTTTTTCCGCTTTTCCTGCTTGCTCCAATAGCTGGAGGGGTGCGCCGCGATAAACTCGCCACTTCCATGCGGGTCCTGGAACTGAAGTACGGCGCTGACGACGTGCGGCGACACGTCCTCCTCGCCGGGGAGAGGTACACGATTGGACGAAAGGAGTGTCGTCTGCCGCTTCCTAGCGGCGACCCGTCTGTCTCGCGGCACCACGCCATCATCACCGTGCGGGCCATGCCACCGCACAGTGTCTTGAGCCCGAACTTGGAGGTGGACGTGAGCGTGACGGACTGCTCCAAGCACGGCACACTAGTGAACAAGGAGCTGATTGGCCGCGACAACAGCCGCGTTATTTACAGCGAGGACGTCGTTATGTTTGGCAGGCGCGTGACCGCGCGCGTGCGCAGTACAACGCTGATTTTAGTGGCCTCCATCGAGTTGTCTGAGGAGGAACAAATCTTGCTGCAAAGGGCTGCGGTGCGTTTAGGGGCGACGATTTTGCAGGAACCCGTTTCAGCACGCGAGGCTTTTTTTCACGTGGGGCTTGGCTGCATCGGGTTTCTCTACGTCACACACGACGGGTACGAGGTCACACCCGACATGCTTCTGGCGATAACCCACCAGTACCACGTGACGACGCCGAGCTACGTGAGTTCCCTCGTGGACCGAATTGCTGAAGATGGCGCACTCATGCCTCTACAGTTTCCCGCACCCACCGTAGCTTGTCCCGCCTCCGCAAGTTTTCCTGTAGAAGAATACCTACCTCCCTCGCCAGCCTTTTACGACCTGAATGAATTCCTGTTAGCAAAGCCGCAGCCACGCAGACCACTGCAGGGCTACACCTTTACTATTGCGGACGCTCAGGTAAGGGATAGATACGAGACTCTGCTGCACCACGCTGGTGCAGTGGTGATGTTCATGCCGCCTGAAGGCGTGACGAATACAAGATTGTACACCCATGGAACAACCACGGTGGGCCTGGCGAGTGATGATATGTTTGCAAGGCTCAAGGCCACGCTGGGCATCCAGCACTGCTCCACCGGCAACGACGCCGGCGTCACAGGAACAACAGAGTCCCCGTTGGCCACTGAGGGTAGCAGTCCCCACAATTGCCACGATGGTCGCAGCCGTGGCAGTACTACTGTCAATCGTGGGTGTGACTTCACCCAAAAGAGCGATACCATCGAAGTGGCGTACGCAACACTTTGCAGCGCTGGTCTCTGCGTGATTCCTGAAATAAACGTTCTGCGAGCCGTTTTTACTGGCAACGTGTTGGAGATTACTGGGACACCGTCGGCGGATTGCCTCCGCAGCGTGGGCCAAGTGTGTGGAGTAGTAGCACCAGCAAGGAGAGAGGAAGCGGAGGTTTCAATGGGGTTTGTGTGGAACGATTGCACATATGACGATCCTTGTTGTGCGGCGTCGCGCACCCAGTCATTGTGCGCGGCAGCAACGCATATGCAGGTGGGGGGGAGCGGATCCTACTCGATGTCGCAGCCATCCACGGAGGCGCAATGCAGCGAAATGCCGAAGAGGACGCCGATGAAAGACGAACAACAACGCGTGTGCTCGAACGCGTCGACTGAGAAGCAGGGAGATGAAGGGTTCCCATCGGCTGCAGGCGTCGATTGCGAGTGTGAGGAGGCATTAAGGGGGCGGCGGAGTGGCGGGGAGCGTCGCTCTGAGGGGGAGCAGCAGCAGCACACTCTTGTTCGTCTTTGCCAGAGCCACACTAGTGACACCCACGCAACTCCCGTTACGCAGTCAAGGGAGCTAAACTCGCAGAAAGCGGGGTCGGCGGCGCGGGAAACCCATGCATTGCCGCGGAAGCCAATCATCGTGTACGCGCCAGCTCAAATGAATGGCAGCAACCAGGGAAGCAAATTTCCGGCACGGCAACGCGTGGTGGGATACAAGATTACCTCGCCGCGACTGCCTTCTCGGTCAACCTCGTCGGCGGTGTTGATGTCGTCTCGCAGCACCTCCCATACTCTCTCCAAGGACGCCGACTCCGTACCTCGGGAAGAGGCCTTGGAGAAACCCAAGGGGCACAGTCATGCGACAGATGCGGTGAACGCCGCGGCAGTGTTGGTTGCTTCGCGACAGGGGCACGCAGCACCGCAACCCGTTCCACGGTATTGCGTGGCGGTGTCACAACAAAATCGAGAATGTACGGGCGGCAGAGCACGTTCCACAAGCCATTCCCAGCTCCTGTGTACGCCACATGCAGTTCCCGTGAGGCAGCTTCACTCAACGCCGAAGTCTTCTGCACAACCGTTGCAGCGAGAGAGGTCCTGCCCGTCGACAACGATGCGCCGTGGTTCAACTGTTCGGCGACCTTCCTTGACGGGTGCTGATGTTCCGCGGTTTGTTCGCTCTGGCACTGGTAGGCCCCGTTTTGGCAGTGCCGCCTTTCCGGCACCGCAGCATCATTGCGGTGTTGTCTACCAGAAGCTTCTTTTTCAGCAGGAGGGACAACAGGAAAGGACGGCGAGTTGTAATACCAACAGTAGTGCGTTCACTGACCTCGACGCCGCTGCCGAGATGGCACAGCAGCAGCAGGACGCCTTTTTGGGGGGGCGTGCCGTAGGCTTTATGCACCACTTCCTCGATGCCTTTTCCCTCAATGTGGAGCAGGTGTGCCAGCGTGTGCTGAAGCAGAGGCACGTGGACGCGAAGACCATGAGCTTTCTAGAGGATGGGGTGGTGCAGCTGACAGACTTTATTGGGTGGCTCCTGTCCAGCTACAGGTCGGACGCCGCACGCGAAAGCACCCACGACGTCCACAAGAAGGCTCTTGTGACGCTCCGGCGGATCCTCGCCACATGCAAAGCCGTGAGGTCGCGGCCGCTGCTAGGCTCGAGGGAAAACATGGATGCCGTCCGCCGCCGCCCCCACACCGCGTGGCGGCCGTCGCTCTCCAGAGAGCTGTCCGTGCCCAGTATGGGAAAAACATTTTTGTGCGTCAGCTGAAAGCGCACTACTGCCCACCACACGAAGCAAACACCCAGTAGCAGTCAACCGAATACGCGGCACCGCACATGCGCGTGTGTGTCTGTGTGTTTGTGCACAAGCCATTTACGCACTTAGTCACTTCCCCGCACGAATGAACGGGTGTGTGGATGCGTAGCCACATGTGTACAGGGTCTGTTTCACAATGTGTGGTCACGAAGAAACTGGAGAGGAAAATAAAAGAAAAGAAGAGGAAAAAGGCTAAACAACAAGTAAGAGACGAAAACTAACGCCAGGTGGGGGGGGGGGGGGGGATAGAAGTAGGGGGAGATGGAGGGGGGTTATTTTGTTTTTCAGGTGCACGCTCACCTGATCTCTCGCCTGTTCGTGAGAAGTTCTTGAGTGCCGCTTGCGGCACACTTAGAGGGAGTACGACGCGAATCAACATGAACAGTCGTGGGGCGGCGAGGTAGGCGTCGGTAAAAATGTATCGCACACCACGTCTCTCTTCGCCCCATGTTCTCCGGTCAATGTTTGGTTTCCGCATTATTGATTTTGTAGACCAGCTTGTTTGTGCTTTTGTACGCCGATAGAGAAACTTGTGGACGGTCTGTGGTCTTGCAATCCGCATACACTCTTTTTTAAAAAGTTTTTGTCTTTATTGAACCTTCTTCCTCTGTTGTATTCAAAATTCTCTCACGTTTTTTTTTTTAATCTCCCTCACTCACCCACGTTTTTGCTTCTAAAAGACGTCGTGGTACGTATAGATATGTGCTCTTTCTGTGTGCATGCGTGTTTTTTCCGTCTGTTTCGGCGCCGGACGGATCTGGGTGGCGGGGGCCGTCAAGCTGCAGATTGGTACTTTGTTGTTGCTGTAAAACTACGCCGCTGTGAGCCTCGCTGGCGGTGGCGCATATCTCTACGCGCGCAAGTGCGCGCGTATACATCTACAGCGTGGTGCAATACATGCCTGTTTCCCTTTCTTCTTCTTTTTTTAATGGTGACTGTGTACGCACACACGCCCGTACATGGGAATTGACGGTGGGTTATTGCAGCTCATCACGGCAAAAGGGGGAAACGGAAAGATGGAGTGTGCCGAGCCGCCGTCATACCGCACACGCGTGGAGGCGTCTGTGGAGGTGGTGGCGTTGCTCGTGAAGCCCATGCGCCTCCTCGGGGAGGTGCTGCGGGCGCTGCGTGGGTGCCTCTACAACATGCGGGGGGTGCGGAATGTGACGGATGCCCCGCAGGCCTCCGTCGGTCCCGCTGAGGACTACAAACTGTTGCTGCTGGACCCCCAACTCATCCCTCCCTCATCTTTTTTAGCGACGGGCGCCTGCACGGCACCAACGCCACCCCGCTGGGTGGAGGGGAACGACGCGTCATTGCCGTCCGTTGTGCGGGAGAGGCTGCAGACACTTTTGTGGAGCGAACCATCCGTCGCAGAGTTTCTTCGGCTGGCTGTAGCCCCGCACATTGTGCGTCTAAGCTACAAAAACTACACGATGCCTGAGCTGCTGCAACGAATTCTCCCACCGGGGACCGTTTTGCTCAGCGGCTTCGAGCAGGTGGGCCACATCGCACACGTCAATCTCTCCGCTGCCCACCTTCCGTACCGTGCAGACATTGGCGCCGTCATTTTGGACTGCAACCCCGCTGTGAGTATCGTCGTGAACAAGGTGGACAGCATCGCCAGCGTCTTTCGCGAGTTTAAGATGGAAGTCATTGCGCGGCGTTCCACCCACGTCGAAGTACAGGGAGCCACCACGACAGAGGGGAAAGAAAAACCCACGGTGGGGCACAAGGAGAGGCAGGGTGAGTGGGAAGGAGAAGATTTGCACCGCTTGCTGCTGGCGACTGTGCGACAACACGGCTGCGTCTTCCGCGTTCCGTACGATCGTGTATATTGGAATTCTCGCCTTTGCCACGAGCACGCACGGGTGGTTGCCATGATGCAGAAAGGGGACGTCCTCTACGACGTCATGGCAGGAGTTGGGCCCTTTGCCATACCCGCTGCCATGGCTGGCGTGATAGTGTATGCAAACGATTTGAACCCTGTCGCGGCGGAGTACCTGCGCATCAACGCGGAGCTCAACCACGTCGGCAAGGACGCCTTTCACGTATTTAACTTGGATGGCCGTGCTTTCGTGAACACAGTGCTCTACCGTGACGTGGTGCGTGGGACCGCACTGCGTGGACGACGCCACGTAACGATGAATCTGCCGGCAATAGCCGTGGAGTTTTTGGACGTTTTCACCAAGCCACCCTGGTCGTTCGCAGCATCGGCATCACTGCCATCATTGAAGAAGACGGAGGGGGCTGAGGAAAACACGGAGGTATCTGAAGAAGCGTCACACCTAGACAAGCGTGTGCTTTTTCATGTGTACTGTTTTTCAAAGCATGCAGAGGACTTTTTGGGCGACGCTGTCAGACAGGTGGAGCGGTGGTTGGCGTATACGCTGCCGAAGGAAAGTCTGGAGGCGGTGCATATGGTGCGGGATGTGGCGCCCGTGAAGCATATGGTTTGCGTGAGCTTCACCCTTCCGGAGGCGTTTTGGGCTCACCGCTACACGAGTGGAACGGTGTCACTCAAGCGGTCTCGCACGGACTGAAGACATGCTTCTCTTGCATCTATTGGCGTTGCTGCTTTTCCCCCGTTTCAGCCGGATCTCTTTCTTTGTGTGTGTGCCGCTTCTTGCAAAGGGACACTCCTTTTTTTTTGACTCACTTTTAATAATTACCGCTAAGCCTATACGCACGCAGGGTGTGCTGCCGCTACTGCCTTTGCTTCTTCCCTCTCCCCAGGCGGGAAGGAGGGGAGGGGGGGGTTATTGTCCCGCATCTTTGCATGCATTTCTCATGTAGTTGGCTGCTTTACGTGCTTTTGTTTTTGTTATCACTCTTCGGCTTGACTTCCAGCCCTTGTGCGTCTCATTCTCTTTTACTGTGTGAGTGAGTGAGTGTGTGGGTGGGTGGGCGGTCTAACGGCGAGAGAGCGGGGGAAGCGAGGAGGGGGTAGAGAGTAGCGTGCGTGCGTGCGTGTCGAGATGAGCGACGATGAGGTCTTTGACGACCTCTTCATCTCCGACATGGAGCCTGAGGAGCTTTACGAAGAGCTTGGCCCCATTGGCGTCGGCAACTACGGGTCCGTCATTAAGGCCCGCAACCGGCAGACGCAGGCGATTGCAGCCATAAAGCTCGTGCTCCTTGTCGACAAGGACGAGCGGGACTTTGTGCAAAAGGAAATCAGCATTCTGAAGAAGTGCGTGCACCCGAATATTGTACGGTACCACGGCGCCCACAAGTCGCTTAGCAAACTGTGGATTGTCATGGAGTACTGTGAGGGCGGGTCAGTGGACATGGTCTACAAAGTCCTGCGGCACCCGCTTCCGGAGCCCCTCATCGCCTACGTGTGCCGCCAGGTGCTTCTCGGGCTGCAGTACCTGCATGCGAACCGCAAAATTCACCGCGATATCAAAGGCGGCAACATTTTGCTCACCCGTGACGGAGACGTGAAGCTGGCTGACTTCGGCGTCAGCACAGAGCTGTCCCACTCCCTTTCACGGCGTAACACGTTTGTTGGGACGCTGCTTTGGATGTCGCCCGAGGCTATTCTTGAGCTTGACTACGACGAGAAGGCAGACCTGTGGAGCCTGGGCATCACGCTGATTGAGATGGCGGAGGGGGCACCGCCGTACATTGACACGCACCCGGCCCGCGCGCTCTTCATGATCCCAAAGGTAGACCCCCCAACGCTGCACGACAAGGACCGCTGGTCACCGCAGATGGCCCTCTTCTTGAAGCGGCTTCTGACAAAAGACTATCGGCTTCGACCCACCGCGACATCCATGCTCAACGACCCCTTTGTGGCGCCGGAAAACATTGGAACAAAGGAGCAGATGAAGGCTGTCATTGACGAGGTGCTTGCCAAGAGGGAGGCGATGAGTCCAGGACGGCTGCATGGCGACACGAATTCAAGCGCGACCTTTGTAGAGCGCACCTCCACAGACAGTGACAGGGAAAACGGGGGTAGCGACGACAGCGGTCTCCGCGGGAGGGCGCCCCCTTGTGTAAAGGTGCCCGCCAACGCTTCCCCTGCCACTGAGGCCATTGACATTACTGGATCCCATCTTTTTTTTCATGACGGCACACTGCTGCCGCTGCCAATGCTCTCTACGCAAGACATTGGGTTTGATGAGCTTCGGTTTGATGGGGAAGGCACGGGTCCCTTCGCCAAGCCTGTGCCTGACGCTGAAGCGCTGCTCGTGCCACCAGAGCAACGAACCACAGCTCTACACGGCAGTGACGGACTTGCGTACACGATGCACGTGACTCAGACTCTTAAATCTATGTTGTATTACCACAAACAGTTGCCAGTGTTTCGAGAGGTGACGGACGCCGAGGCGACAAAATCCAAGGAGCTCCAGCTGAAGTACGGATCGATTTTGAAGAGTATCTATCGCCTCTGAGACGGTGACAACTGGAGACCCTTCACAATGTTGCACAACACCACCCGACGTTGCTGGTGTTGGGGGCTATGAGAGGAGGATACTGTGGGGTGATTTAGGGGCACTACTGGCGGCAAGATGTGATGCATCGTGTTGTTTTATGAGCCTGTGTGTGTGTTGTTGTTTTTTAAGTCTCTGCTTTCTGCTCGACAAAAATGTGCCTGGGCGGTGTCACTGTATTTGATCCCGCCAGCGACCCACTGGGGGTGGGGAGGTGGGGGGGGTGCAGTTAGCCCACTGCAGATGCTTCAGAGCGCATGCTGCATCCACGTGCTTCTTGTGGGTGGGGGGCATGTGCTTGTTTTTTTTTTTTTTACTTTGTTCCTCCTGCCCTGCCGCTCTCGTGCTCCCTTGGTGTCGCGTTGCCTGGTGGATTCTTATTACTCTTATTCTTATATTTTGCCTTTTTGCCTGCCGTGCAACGCCGCTCTTCCGCGCCCGCGCCAGCGCGAGAAAGCAGGGAAAGAAATTTCTTAATAGCACGCAAAATCTACCGGGGACGCCTATTTTTGCGCAGGCACGCACGCATCACAACATGTCGGACATTTCGACGTCTTCGTTGCGGGAGGAACTGCAGCGGTTAGACGGGCAGCGGGCAGAGCTCATGAGGCAAGTAGTGGAGGCGATGGAGTTCCTCGGCACAACGCCGGTGGGGTTAACTGCTCCCCTCGTTGACGCGGATGGGTTCCCGCGGGATGACTGTGACTTGTACGCTGTGCGCCGAGCCCGACAGGTAGTGAATCGCGGACGGAACGATATTAAGGCGATTGAGACATCCATGCACGAAAAACTTGCCGTGTTACACGAGGAAAGTCAGGAGAAAGCAAAGCAGCAGATGGAGCGCGACGACGAGGCGAGGCGGAAGGGCAAAGCCGACACTGTGGAACATGAGCGCCGAATGTGCCTGGTACATGAAATGTTTAAAAAGCCGCCGTTTGTTCGGGTTGTGATGACAGCCGCAGGCAGCCCTGGTGGGCTGGCGGGCCTGACTGCGGGTGACCTCGTTGTCCAGTATGGCGAGGTGGATGCGGCGGCAGTGGCGGCGCGTGGCTTTGGTGAGATGGCGCGGGTGACGGCCAATCACGAGGATAAGATGCTTAGCGTGTGGGTGAAGCGACGGAGTGGCGAGGGGGTGGCGGAGGATCTGGTGGAGCTTTTTCTAGTGCCGAAGAGCTGGGCTGGTGATGGCCTCATTGGGTGTGAGTTTGAGCCGTGTCTGCAATAATGATGCTTGTGCTTGCGACGAAGATGAAGCGGGAGAGAAAGAGAGGGAGCGAGAGCACGGGAATATGTAGGAGCGGGAGTTCTGTTGCAGGGCGATAGCGAGTCGTGCAGCACGGCGGCACCTTCAACGCTCTCGATCTCTTTCTCTAGTTACACGTGTGACTGGCCGTGCGCCTTTCTCTCCTTCTCGCTGTGGCTGGCGTCCACATTACATGGGTGTACTCTTCTCTCTCTTTTCCTTCATATGCCTCTCACTTTATCCATCACTTTTTGTATGTGCGTCTGCGGTGGTGCACCCGCGGCCCTCTTTGCGGCAAGTTGACGCAAGCAAGAGGGGGGGGGGAGGGGGGCGGCAAAAAAAAAAAAAGATGCCGTTCTACACGCGTGTGATTGGTCTATACGAGCGATTCACAGTGTTATCTGCCACCGCCATCCGCCGGGAGGTGCAGGCCCTGTTAGGCACCACAACTAGCAACGCTCCTCTGTCCGAGCTGCGGGAGGTGTGTGCGCTCCTGTCGAAGAGCGGCGAGCGACGACGAGCTCGTCTTGTCGTGGACGCTCTTCCACAGCCGCAGCGACAGTCATTCATCACCGCATTGGACCTCGCGGACCCGCCAAGTGAGTCATTCGTGCCACAATGTCAAGAGAAACAGGCTGCTGTTGCGGAACCGTTTTCGACGATTGGAATCTCTGAGATGTCGAATGAGGCGCTACTGCGGTTGGGGTTTGCGCTGCAGCGGCCGAATCCCCAACGCAGACGGGCGGCACTTCACTCTGCGGCTGCGAACGATATCGAAGAGAAGGAAGGGGGGGAGAGGTTGGGGCACAACGCCGTCATCCAGCGTCAGCTATTTATGGAGTTTCGGCGGCGGCGGCGAGTACAAGGAGTTGATGCAGTGCGTCATGAACTGGAAGTCTAAAGGGCTCCTCCCAACGAAGCGGCGGGCGGGGAGAGGCTTGGGTGACGGTGTCGTCACGACAGACGATGAGACACACCTTCACCACTCCACTGGAGGCGACGGCGCAGCACCACCCCAGACGGCGGTTGAGGAGACGCTCTTCAACGCGGAGGAAGCACTGCGTGGACTCCTCTTCAACACATCGTCCCCCACCTTTGCCGCTTCTGCCGTGGCGTCGTCATCAGGGAGTCAATGGGAGGAGGCCCTGCGGGAGTGCCCGGAGTTTTTCTGTAGTACCCTCAGGGAGCCCACGGCGGCTCTTCAGTTTCTTCGCAAGACGAGCACCGAGATGGTGACGCGTCTGGCGCTGTGCCTTCTGCGTGAGGATACCACGACGTACATGCCACCCGGAGCTTCCACGGCGCACAACCTGTCGCGGCCACGCGTGGCGTGGGAGACTGTTGCTTCGTTGTGTTTTGCCTTGCAGCCGCACCTGCTGCACGAGAAAAAGGTCGTGAAAATGGACCTTTTGCAGGCGATACTGCGTGCACTGCGATTGGAGGCGGGAGAGGCAGCAGCTACTGGGGAAAAGGCCACTGCGCGGCGGAGCACCAACTCATCGGCTGCAAGTTCCACACGCCTTGTCGCGATGCGTTCCGCCGTTGAGGTCCTCTGCGTGTCCTTGTCGCATCAACAACAAGAGGCGCAGGCGCGGTTCATTGGATTGCCGCTTTTTATTGAGGTTGCCATTGCCTTGCGGGACAGTGGCGTGCGAGTTCCTAACGCACTGGTTCAATGCGTCTTCTTGTGTCTAGGGGACTCGCAGCGTTATCAGTGGAGCGAACCATCACCCTTGAGCAGCCAAGCCCCGCGGGACCGAGAGATGCTTGTTAATATCCTTAATTCTCCCCCGGCGGAGCGATGGGTGTCGGCCCTGCGTCTACTGCGGCTGTCGAACGAACAGAATGACTTTACTGTTGCTCCTGCGCACCTTCGCTGTTTTCTCAGTGGTCTGCAAAGCATCTCAATTAGCCGCACATGGCAGACGGCCCTCAGCGCCGCACAGTGTATCATGACTCAGTATCACGTCTTCCCTGATGAGGCTTCTACGGAGAAGCTGATGTTGAACCTGCATGCAGCATCATGGCAACGCGCCTTTGGGGTTTTGCAGCTGTACGAAAGGAATTACGTCACACCATCCCCGCAGATTTTGCGGGATCTGCATGTGGTGGCGATGAAACACGGTTCTTGGGACCTTGTGCTGCGGGTGATGCAGGAGATTGAGGCGGCGGGAGCCGAGCAGGCCCGCTTCATGAATTATGTTTACTGCCTTCGCGCGTTTGGATGTGCGGGGAAGTGGGAGGAGGCCGCTGGGCTTTTCAAAAAGCTTAAAAACATATCTGACGTGGGGCGGAGTGGCCGCTCTGCGTACAATGAGGTCACGGTTGCTGTGCCTGTCATGGGCATGGTGGAGCACAAGCAGTGGGAGGCGGTGGTGCGGTTTGTTGTGACGATCTGCCACCAATGCGGCGCTGCACTGACGCATGAGGGGCGGGAGGTGGCCCTGGCAGCGGAGCTTCTTGCGCTTGCACGCATGGGCCACGTGGCCCGATTGGCACGCTTTTTGAATCGTCACAGTGGGGTGAAGGGCGACGCCAACGGTGGGGCGGCGGGGGCCTATGCGGCGGATGACACTCCGCTAGAAGAGTTGGGGTTATTACCCTCCGTCACGGAGCTGCGCGCGCTGCTGCTGCGGGCGGCGGAGCTGCACACGCTCTGCGGCATGGAGCAACTCAACGCCCCCATTCGGCTTGTGTACGACATTATTGCCAGCGACACCCATCACCGCCACCACTACGCGGAGCGGATTGGGCCCGTGACCCGCCGCACCCCCCCGCAGCGACCGCTCTACCTTCCGCCCCACCATTTGCGGACGCAGCATGACAACTTTGCAGCAGCGCTTGGGGTACTGATACGCCGTGACGAGCGACTTTTTGACGCAGCCGCGCAGCAAAGCGTGGCGGAGGCGATGACGAAACTTGGCGCAGGCCCCGCGTTTCTGAAGGCTGCGCTGCTATAAACAACGGCGATGCGGGGAGGTAGGCGAAGAAACAAACAAACAACCTGAACGCACACACGCACATTACAAAAGAGCTGTCGTTGCAAAGTGCAGTGGTGACCTGAGTGAATGACATTCCTCCATATGCATGCTTTATTATTTTCTTCCTGTCTTCCAGTGTGCTTTGTTGCCCAGTCGTTTGTGCCTATTTTCTCTTCTTATCTCTATTTCATGTATTCACCGTTGAAGGACTTTCATGCCGCTAAGGACACAGCGCAACAACACACAGGCAGGACCAAAGAAGGAAAGGTAACTAATGGCAGTTCATCGATGATCACTCATGGAAGAGCCTTCCCCTCCGCATAGCTGTTGCTGCTGTTTCCAACACACGAGATAATACAAGGTTTGGAAGAGCTGCTGCATCATTATATCTCACGCATTGAGGGAAGCGTATTCACCTGCGGAGGTTGGTGTTTTTTGAGCACTAATGAATCGTTGTTTGACAAACGACATAAACTTTGACTCGGTGGATGAATAAGGGCGCACATATCCCCACTTTGTCGCGGCGCGCGTGGCAATGGGGACGCAACGTCTCGGCAACTGTAGTTGGTGCCTGACAGGAGCGGGGAACTGACAGACGGCACTGTCTGCATGACGGTCGCGCTGCGGCAATGCGACGCGCACATACCGCCTCTTAAGGGGGCTGGAAAAGGCGGGGCAGCGCGTGCCTCGTGGCGTGTGCACAAAGTTGGAAGAGTTTGAGTGGCTTTGTTTTATGTTAGTTGTACGTATATTTTTTTTTCTTGTGGAAAAGGTCTGCGCCACCACTACTACTACTGCTACTACTGCTACCACTAATAATGCCGCTGCTGATGTTCACACGCAAGCAACACAGGCAGTTTATTCAGGCGATGCGCCAGCTACGCCGCAGCACGCCGTTTTTCCTACTGGCGGTGTTTTTGCTGCTGTTGGTGTGTTGGGCCGCTGGGTGCCTCGCCGTCGCTCCCTCCCGGAAGCACCGCTGCGGGTTTGACGAGATGATG